TATTATCAAATTATATATTTGTGTACAAACTTATCTCTTTATTATTCAAATAATTTTATTTTTGATGCTAAAATATATTAATATTTTAATAAAAAAAATATAATATTAATTAGTTGAGTTTAACAATAAATAAATATTATTTAAATATTACATATTTTTTAAAACTATAATTTTTTTTTTAAAAAAATCAGTTTAATAAAAAAAAAACAAAAATGTTGCTCATAATTCGATTCCCCGGAATCCTAAATCCTAAACTCGGAACCGAATTCTGGCAGCTACACCACTCACCGTAGCCAACAACACAGTTCAGAATTCGGTTCGCAGGGAACCGAATTCTGACTATGAACAGTGTTCAATTTTAGTTTGATAAATAAATCGAGTGTGGGTCTATTTGTGTAATTTTATTTTTAAAAAAAATATTTCAGAAAAAAATTCCAATTTAGATGTATCGGTGATTAACTACGATAGTATTGAATGAAATGTTAGTTCGTGTACACCACAGACATGACACATGAGTTAGCTCGCAAACCCATGCGCTGACTTTTCACCCACTCATTTCATACTACTCTCTAGTGTTAGGCTATGTACTATAAAATCAAGGTTACTTTGGATAATAAGTAAAAAAAAAAGTCTTAAATTCCTCATTGTTGTATATACATTAAAAAGGTTATGGTTAATTCTTTTATTTTAAAGTTTTTTTTTTAATTTTTATAATTTAAAATAGATTATTTCAGTTGTTATATTTATTTATTTTTTTTATTTTTTTTAAATAATTTAAGATAATTTCTTTTAGTATCCGCATTTGTAAATTTTTAGTTTTTTAGTTCTTATTTTTTTTTTGTAATATTATCTTCTTTTGTTGACATGATAAAATTTTTTAATTTTACAAAAATAAAAAAAAAAGTGTTTCAACATTAGTGTTGTAAGTGAAAGTAAAATAAGCATAAAATTAAAATTTAATTTAAAATAATTTTAACAAAATAAATTTAATATCATACATACAAAGTTAAATTAATATATTTATCATGTTAATATAAAATAAATAATATTATAAAAAAAATATGATAAGGATTAAAAAAATTAAAATTAAAAATATAAAGAATAAAAAGATTTATCTTAAACTATAAAAATAAAAAAAATAATTTAAATTATAGAAATTAAAAAATAAAATAAATGAAACTATAAGATTAAAAATTATTTTAATATAAATAAATAAATAAAATCCCACGGCATTGGTTGCATTCTGCATGCACTTCATTTTTGTGGAATGTGGACGTTGAAATAAGGGAGAGGGAAGAAAAAAGATAAATAAAGTAATAAAGAAAAGCTTCTTATTTAGAAAGATGATAATTAAAAAAGAAAAATTAGTATAAAAAAACTAGAAGAGTGAGTAAAACAAGAGATTGAGTAAAAAAAAAAAAAGATTTTCACCTCCATAAAAAAATATTAGATGATGCAAATGAAACCGAAATTCTATTCAACAAAAAAATAAATAAATAAACTGAAATGTTACCATTTTTTTTACAGTACCGAAATTTTAGCATATAAATTAGGTGAAATTTCCCTGATCAGGGAACAGCAGCTATTCCCCCGTTTCCATGGTTCATTACTTGATGGTGTATGTGTCGGTGTGGATATACAATTGTTTTTCTCTCAAATTTAGAATATGTGTTTTTAATTTTTAAAATATAAAAACATAATTAATCCAATTATAAAATACGCAACTCTCTCACGTGCCAAAAGGTAAATAACATCAATGTTTCATTTTTTTTTTCTAACATGAAATTCCTTACACAAAAAAAAAAGAAGGAAGTAAATCAAATACTGAAAGATAACCAACGGTTAATTTAGCACTTGATTTTGAGATTCAACCAAAATCAAATATTGTAGAGGGAGTGATGGAGAAAAAAGCTTATTCATACACCCAATCTAACTAAAAATTTACGCAATTTAGTCCTAAAAAGTAGGCAATTTATTGTTTTTTTTTTTTAAAAAAAAACTAGGCAATTTATTAAATTTTTAATCTTAACCATTGGATTAATTGAATATGGCAGTAAAATGTGGTGAAGATGGTGGGAGGCAACACGTGTAGGAGAGGAAGAGGGTCCAAATTATTCAAATTAGTAGATATTATGGGCTTCACCAAACTTCAATTGCGGTGCCAACATTAACATAACTCACCAGATTTACTCAAACATGTCACTTGAACATCGTAAGTACATTCACTTCAGCATTAATCAAAAAACAAAAAAAAATCACTTCACCCACCTTGTGTTGTCACCTTCTCTATATAACTAACTATAAGTAATTTCTCCTATGGAACCTCCCCATTTTGCTATAACAATATAATTATCCTCTGTCGACACTTTTTATTTTACTTTTAATTTTCATCCCATGATTTTAATTATTCACAATTAATTTTTTTTTATATATAATTTTTCAATTGTTAAAATAAAGTTATGAACACCCTATTTTGTACTATCTAATTTCTTAACCAGTAACGAAAACAACATATGTACTATGTAGCGATTGTTGGTAGTATATATATGTAGCCACATGAGAGTTGCACATGCACACAAGAAAAGTAAGCGAGAGAGGGTCACATTCACATGAAAACCAAGAAAATGATATTCCCTCGTGCATTGTTTTTGCTGGCAGCAGCCGTGGCCGCCTTCCACGTGGCATCATCGGCGGAGGCGGCGGCGGCTGGGGAGTTCCTGGAGGCGCACAACGAGGCGAGGGCGGCGGTGGGGGTTCAGCCGCTGCGGTGGAGCGAGCAGGTGGCGAACGTGACGGAGAGGCTGGTCCGGTACCAGAGGATGAAAATGGGCTGCCAGTTCGCCAGCCTAACCGCCGGCAAGTACGGCGCCAACCAGCTCTGGGCTCGCGGG